GCGTCTGTGGGTGGGAAAATGCTGGAAGCAAAAAAGCAATATAACATTTAGGCTGCGTTTGGAAACGATGCAAATGGAGTGCAAATCACAGTTCAGGGTAAATTTGCACTCTGGTTCATTTTTGTCTGTATTTGGCAACATTACATTTTTGTATTGACAAATGACAAACCAATGCATATTTACATTGATAATAAGATGTAAAAGTATATCAATAAAAAAGAAGTAAATTTGCATTCAAGTGGGCTTTTGATAAAAACAAAGCATATGTTTTATTGGAATTCGTGTTTGCATCCATTAGAGCTAAAAGTCTGTTTGGTAAGAAGGTAAATTTCTCAAAGCAAAACTAGCCCAACTTTGCAATTTATATGAACCGTTTTACACTACATATTTGCATCATTTCCAAACGCAGCCTTAGGCTCATTTTGGAAGGAGCGCAAATACAAATATCTAGAGTGCAAAACCTTGTATTTTGTGTTATTTTATATGTATTTGCGTTGTTTGTACTCATTCCAAACTGATGAGAAAATGTTGAAACCAAATATGTGTGGTTGTGGTATATATCTTTGGTGCCATTCCTATGAAACCTTAGACTTTCTAAAGTGAAGTGGATCTCGCACTTAGGATTTTTTTGCCTTTGAACTTGTCAGGAAAAGGAAAATCCTGGCAAGCCCACACATTAAGGCTTGTAAAGGTTTCCTATCTTTTCCTTCCTTTTCCTACTTTTCCTTTCAAACCAAGAATGGCCTAAATTGACATATCTTGAACAATTTCATCTTAGGGTCCATTTGGTTCATGGGAATAGGGATCTGAAATCAGAACCAGAATAGTGAATTTCAATTATTTGATTGGGTCCCATTCCTATTCCTAGTGGAATGGCATTCCCCAATTTAAGGGAATGACCATTCTCTCCACCTCCCTTGGGAATGAGATCTCACTCCTAGATGATTACAATTTCGATTTTGATTTTCATCTGAACAGGTTATGGGAATAGACTATTCTAACTCTGATTCTGAGAGATTTTTATTCTAGTTTCAAATTTTCAATACAATTTTTTCTTGTGAACCAAACAGACCCTCAGTTCTCAAAGATTGAATGTAATGGCAAATCAGAATCTGTTGTTAACTTATAAGCCATCTGTCCGACACAGGAGTCAGTCCTCCACACCAAGAACAGGAGAGAAAGGAATTCTGATTCAGTAGCTGCCAGGCTACCCATCTCTCGGTTGCTGCCAAAGAAGATTGAACATCTTCCATAGTTTAGCACCTGCCCAACATGAACTCGGATTTGCACCTCACATGAGCGCTCCCCCACATGCCACATGGCGCTACAACCGTGTATTAGGAATACACAGAGAGATGTTCATTTGACTCAAAATGGTTGAATTTCTTACCATCACTTGGACAAAAAATATGGTTTTGTTTTTAGGTTGGTTTTAAAAAGCATCAGTTTTTTATACTATTAAAATTATTATATATTAATTTAATTAGTAAAATTTAATGATGGAAAATAAAAATGCCTTAAATATATAATTTGATGAGGAAAATGGGAGTTAATACCTTAAATGTGGGGTTTCATGAAAGAGAATTGAATGAATTAATAATATTATCCAAATTACATTTTTTTGCCATCACAATAAAGAGGGACTATATTTTAAAATGAAGAGTATTTTAGTAAAGAAAATTTTCAGAAACATGAGACTCTATTCATACTTTTTATAGTAGTATAGATTATTATTGAAATTTATATTTGTAAATATTATCAAGAATAAAAAAATAAAAAAGAATAATATAGGTTTATTAAAATTTAAGATAACAAGAATAATATTTTGGGTTCATCAATTATATTTTGGTGTTTCCGAGGTGTGTCCCATTGGTTCACACGTCACATAAACTTCACATAAAGCATGTATTTATTGTGTCTATATACTTTATTTATGATCATCCGAGACTTTGATTTCCCAAGTGTGTCTCATTGGTATTACAAAGTGTATTAAACATTGATATTGTGTCTTTTAAAATTGTATTTATGATATGAAGGAAAAAAAAACCTTTCTTATAGTATATGTTTGGCATCGATGCTGTCGATGATGTGTGGGTTGGAAGCACCGTTTTCTAAGAAAACAGTGTTCTTTTCTCTATTTGAAAGCATTACTGTCAGGTATGATGTTTTTTGGAGCAACAGCAACACTTTATGTTTGGTACTAGTGCTCCATATCTGTTTTCAGCATTGATACCCATTATAGGAAGTTCATGTCACTGCCGTGTCATATCCTCATAGACAGCAACGAGCTACAATATGAGAAAACGCCAAATTCGGTGTTGCTCCAAACCATGCCTTCTTGATTTCTAAGGCGTAGCTTAAAGCACCATTTTTTATGGAAAAAACTGTTCCAAACAAATAGATGTTTCTAGAGCACCATTTTTTCCGATACATGGCACTGATGTATCATCATTTTCTGGAGCAACAGCATTGATGCCAAACAGACGCATATTCTTTGTGTTTTAAAATTACCTTTTTAATGCTCCTTGCATTAAACTTTGACTAGATCTTTTAGACTATGCTTGGTTTGAAGGAAAAGGTGGGAAAGAGAAGGGAAAGATAGAAAAAGCTATACAAGGTTTCCAAAGGTTTCCTTTCTTTTCCTTCAAACCAAACACAGCCTTAGCATATTCACAATGCACGCCATGTGTCCAACTGATATCCAAATAAACAATTTCTAAAAGAACCTTTCCTAAATGTGCTCAAAGAGAGATTCACATTTTATTAAAAAAATACTTGTTTCTTGATTAATTTAAGAATGACCTATGCTTGATCTCTTATTGTGTTTCATCTTCGAACTACTCTGTATAAATATATTTAATGCAGAAGTCTATATCAGTCATGTAGCCGGTTACTATTGCAAAGGTACTATTAAACTTATCCTGTTGTTCAAACTAAGAGCTTTTTTCTAAAGAGGTGTGGCAAGGGTTTGGGTGTAAGGTGAGCAATAGGGACATGAGGGGTCACTTTGATTTTCCACATATTAGATTCCTTAGACATTTAGTTTAGGTGGCATTTGATAAAATATTTCAAACGTATGAGGTCTAAAAATTTTGCTTTTCAGAGGTCATTGGCATTTGGGTTTAGGTCTGATTAGAGGATCTAAAACACAAATTCATATTTGAATTGGTAAGACATGAAACCATGTGTTATAAAAAACAGACGCATTTCAGATGTGATAAAATGACATTAATGCCCTCGTTATTGTCATTTATTTAATAATAATGATGATGATGATTTATTTATTCAAATAATATTAATAAATAAGAATATGTTTATTAATAATTTATTATTACTTAATAAATATTTATTATTATTATTATTATTATTATCATCATCATCATCATTATTATTAGCACTATTATTATTATTTGTTTATTTAAATAATATTATTAAATAATAATTATTATGCTTATTATTTAATAAATAATAATAATAATTATTATTATTGTCATTATCAGTATAATTACTATTTATTTAAATAATATTATTAAATGATAATATGTTTATTAATACTGATAATAATGGTTTATTTAATATTATTTAATAATAAAAATTATATTATTATAAATATTTATTATTACTTAATAAATTTTATTTCTTTATTTGAATAAATAATAATATTTGGTTTTCATCATATTTATATAATAATAGGAATATTTTATAATATATTTATTAGTAAGAATTAAAATATTTTTATTTATTATTAGTTAATAATAATAAACACATATTTTTAATATAATAATAAATAATTAATTATTTAAAAATATATAATATTTGTTTATTAATAGAATACTATTTTTGTTTAATGTTCGTTTTTATTATTTATAATATTATCAAATAGTCTATTTCTAAGGGTCAAATAGTAAGCTTCACAATTTCAGATGTTGGAGAATTGCTTCAACTCAAATGATCTTATTTTTTCAGAAGCTCTAAAACACAGAAAATCATTTCTACTTCTTTTCAGACTTCAAATCCAATTAATATCTTTTTAACTTCTCAAATTTCAGATTTATCAAATGTCACCTTAGTCTTCTTTGCTAAACAATCTAATTAGTAATTCTCTTTACTTCCATTTTGCATTTGGTGCATATTCATTGAGATGGGTGGTTTTAATTTTATCACTCATCATTTTTTTTTTCTTCTAATACCCCTAAGTTTACTCCAGGTGGAGTGGAGGGGCAGCCACTTAAAAATTTTATTAATCATTATTAAAAGGGAGGTAAATCAAAATGGGAGAGAGCGTACAACCGCCCTCAAAACCCAACAACAGAATACACAACCTCACCCATTTCACCCCAACCCAATACATGGCTCAAAAATTAACAAGATAGTCATCGAAGATCTATGTTTTTTATTCTTCAATGTTTCTAGTATGCAGTTACATACTTACATGACCACCTTGTACCTTGTAACAAGACCACTATTCTCATGTATTTTGTTTGGGACCCATCTTCCGTATGATAAATTTAGGTTAGGTTTTTATTTGTTCTAAGAGATTATATCACTTCATCTAAAACGAATGGGACTCACACTAGGTATTGAAAGCCTTTGTATATATTTTTTTTCTATTAAAATTGAAAGGTTCCATATTGTGTATATGTGTGTTTAAGTTAAGAAACTATGTTAAGAAAGTAATGTTTAAAAGTATTTTCAACTTATTAGGTAAAATTTCAATTAGTTGAATCCCACACCATTTGAATTTGTGTTTTCAGCTCAGTTTGGAAGGAGTGCAAATACAAATATGTAGACTGCAAAACATTGTATTCTATATTATTTTGTATGTATTTGCACTGTACATATTTGTATTTGTACTTTTTCCAAACTGAGCCTTAATAAAATTTAGGGAAAATTCCACTCTAGTACCCTGAACTTTGGGGGTAGTGTCAAGTTAGTACCCACTGGGAATAAATTTTGGGGTTAATAAAAAAAAATACGTGCAAGATCATGCTACTTGAGAGTTGAGACTATATAGGATTTCCATGCATCTTTTGGTTTCTTATGGAGTTATTATCCAATAGGACCAATACAATATCTGAAAATATATCTTCAAATAAGACAATTACATGGAAGATAAAAGGCCAGTGCATTCTTCTGCAGCTACTTCAGAAATTTTCATCTTTTCTAATCTAAGGGGATCAAAGGGTTCATAAATAACTTCATTCACATAACGCATCATATCATGTGGAGATGTGAACCCATCATTCTTGGAGTAAAATAGGTGCAATACTTTGCTCATCTTCCAAAACAAATCCTTGCAAGCTCTTGGAACCAAACTTCCATTTGTTTGTAATACTAATCCAAGAAGTTCCTTCCTAGTATTTTCAATCAAGCTTCTCATTTCTCTGATAACCTGCTCCTCTTTGACAACACCACTCCCATGAATCATTTGCAATGATACACCGTTCAATTTTCCCTGCTTTCCTTCCCTCTGCAAGATACACAAATTTTAGCAAAATGAGCAAACCACAAACCAACCAGAAAGGCCAATACCCAGTGATGGCCCTGGATATCCCGACTCTTGGAAGAGGTGGACTGGAGATGGACCTAGCCTCCTGCATTTTGAGAATGGAGTGACCATTCTCAGACTTGAACCAACGTTTATGCATTGGTCAACCCAAGATTTTACCACCGTACTAAGTGGCATCCCCTAAAATGAGAAAATTAAATAACTACTGGACTAGTGATATAAGGAACTTCTTTACCTCAAATCCCTGGATATCATTCAGGAGACGGCCACATGTGCTCATGAGCTTGTACAAATTATGGTACTCTGGACTTCTAACAGCCTCCTCTGAAAGCGTGTCTCCGACAAGATAGAGAGCTGGGAGAACGATTGGTCCTAATGCAAATGATACATATCCATTTTCCATATATTCGTCCATAGTTGGCACTGATTTGTTCCTCAACCAGTCTGCCTCTCTCATCATTGAATTAAGCAAATTAAGCCACTGCACATTAAAAAACGAAAAAAGAAGTTATCTTACTGTTTCTCAAACAAAGAGACTAGGAAGGATGATTACTGCTTAACCTTACAATTTCAACTAGGTGGTTTGTGACACAGCGTCTTTGGCATTTGAATGCTTTGTCTCCAATCTCATTAACTGTGCTGTGAATTGCTGAAAATACGATCTCAACTTGTTCAGAGCAGCGACCAATGGCAAAATTTTCATCCCACCTGGAAGGCATGAAACAATCATCTTGTAAAAAGAATAAAAATTTTGAATCCACAAATAAATAAATAAATAAAAGCAAAAACTTACTTCTCAACTAATTTAATAAGGTTTTCTAGTTCTTCTTTAGAACCTCCAATGTCAAAGAAGTCGTCAACTACAGTGGTGAGTAGACTATTTTTGGCCCATGAAATGCGAGCATCAGATAGCTCAGGAGAAAAAAGGGTTGCCGCAGCAGAGAAGTAGCAGTAGGTCAGCTTCTGCCTTGCAAACTTTAACTGATCTAATTTGTTGTCATTGACCCATCTGGTTATTTGGAAATGGTTATCAGGAGTCAGGAGTTAGCTATAAAATTACAGCCAGAATTATCTTTCTATAAACAACAGTCTAAATAAATTGGTACCTAAATGGATTAGTACCTCTCAAGCTCTTTGAGTTCTTTATGATATATCTCTTGACAGTTATTGAAGTCTTCAATTGCCAGTTCCAGGAATTCAATGTTATGAATATTTAAGCACCTGATAAACGGAAAAGAATGAATTGCATAATCAGGTTATGCTTTTCTTTTTACTTGCTTGCCCCTTTTGGATACTAGTAGCAGGCATACCTATATGATGTTTTTAGAATCCTTGGGTGATTTAAATTGTAGTGCTCCATATTTCTCCTGTTCTCTAGGCGTTCCAAATTAGCATAGTGGGGAAACTTAAGGGCATAATCAACCTGAATTGGATCAAAGGGGAACTCCAAGTCGTTAAGTATCAATAGAACAACTTGAGAGAAATCGATCAACATTAAGATAATTCCAATAAGGTAGAGAAGTTTCAGTTATGTCAACATGTCTCAAGAAATTACCTCTTGGGTAATATACCTACTGACTCCATCTCTGTTTTCCAGACATTTAGATATTTCCTGTTTCAGATACCAACTTAACCAGAATTGGTGTTTCTCTAGAACTGGTTCATTAGGGAATATCATGAACTGTGAAGCTTTGTACAACTCCAGAACAACATGGATATCGTTCAAATGTCCTCCAAGTGAATCCAAGAAATGTTTTTCTTCGACAAATTGAGGTAATGCATCTGCATAATAATTTAAATTTATTTAACCTCCAGCATAAGTAGAACTGAACTCATTAACATTTTGATACAATTTCTGAATAGTCCAAACTAAATACCAGCAGCAATGTTGTATCCATTTGTGCGTAAGATCCGAAATGCCATGGCACAAACATCTAGGTCTAAGAATATCCTTTCATCTTTCTGCAACCAGCATCTGTTTATAGGCTAATGAGGCATTCTCCAATGGCTGCGAATTAACTAAAATAGAAAAACAATCCTTGAAATTTTACCTGTATGTTTCATCTAAAACATTTTTAATTTCATTCCTGAAATGCCGATCAATTCCCAACCCAATCAGACTGTCAATCATACAGAGTTGAGCGTGTATATCTAGAGGGTAAGTTGTGGGAACTGAAAATACCAATAGAAGAGAATCACTTTAATATTGTAATACTGTTATGGAAAGACATAACAAACTGTAGGTAAATGTTGGGTCATGGATGAGGTTTACCTGCACCACCAAATTCTTTTAAAACAGTTCTCAAATAACCAAGGCAGTTAGCATCCTGAAGGTGAGTAAAAGCAGCTGCTGTGGTAGATGGAGAATTAAATAAAGATCCATTCTTCCTTTGATATTTCATGACCTCTTTCCAATCCTGTAAATTTTGCAGTCCTTCTGCAATATAAGCTAGATAGGCCTTCTTTCCTTCAGAATTGCTTTCGGAGGTTCTAAATGGACATATGAAGATGATAACACAAAAATTTAGTAATAGTGGTTAATGAATAAGATGGAAATGGATCAAATTTGAATAGATAATTGTCTGGTTGGAACTGTGCAGCTAGACCCAATATAAGGGTGCAAATCAAGTAACCGACTTGAAGAATTTACACTGCATTTGGTTTGGTCTCTTGGGTTCTCATGCCAAGACCATTTAAATTTTAACAAATGGTCAACCAAGGCCAAACCAGGTGGCACCACTAACCCAATGCAAGTAATTATACTAAGGTATTCCAAAGGTTTTCTTATACCTGCATGTCTGGTAGTATACTTTTTTTGGTAAGAGTATAAATTTTAAGTTAACAAAATTGACACCAAAAGGATAAAACACCATTAAAAGTTTTATGCCTCTTAAAACTTTAAGATGTCATTGCAACATTTGTATACCAACTCAAGGTAATAGTGAGTAAATCATCATGTGAATTTTCCTGTTTTCTGTATATGATAAAATAAATATTTGATGCATTTAATCCATTCAACAAAATTAAGAATCAAAAGGAAGATGTAACCCAGAAGCATCAAAGAGATCATGTCAGTCAGTTCCAATCCACTATGTGAGAAAACCTTAACAGTTAATGAAACAAAAAAATATGATTTTCTCCCCACAAAATATGAGCATGAGCCAAACTATAAAACTTTGGGAGAGGATAATTGAGTAATGATTAAGATATGGAACTAGCAGAAAACTAATTTGGATTCAAGAAGGGAGATTATCTATGAAAGCAATGTTCCCACATAGGAGATTAATAGAGAAACTAAGGTTACCACCCATTATATTCCAATTCAAAGCAGTTTTTTTAAGCATGTGCTCTCTTAATCTGTTTCTTTAAGGGGTAAGGTTTATGTCCCACCCCCAGCTTTCATTAATAAAATTATCCTTTTTTCCTCTAAAAAAACAAAAAAAAGGAGTGAGTTCTACTTGGTATTTATTGATTTAGAAAAAGTAGATCTATAGAGAAGTCATCTTATGGGCTTTGGGAAACAAAAGGGCTTCATATAAGTATACAAATATCAACAGGGATATGTATGAAGGAGCAATAATGTGAAGATTTAGTAAGGGTTCCTCGAATCATGCCATTATTCCATCCTGGTGAATGGTACCACAAAAGATTTCTTCACAATAAAAAAGATTTAAGACAAAGCAACCCCTTCCCCCTATTCTTGTTCACTTTGGTGTCTAATCTCCTTAGTTACCTTATTTCAAATTTCAAGAGCCAAAGATAGGGGGTTAATTAGAGGTTTGAGGGTAGGAAGAGAGAAAGGGTTATTATCTCTTACTTGCAATTTGCAGATGATATTATTATCCTTTGAGTGTACTTCCAACCTGAAAGTGGATCTTTGTAGAAGCTATTTCATAGGTATATATTTGGAAGGGTTGGTGATAGGGAACTATGCTTCCATTCCAGGATGCCCAAAGTCTCAATGGCCTTTGAGCTATCATTGACAACTTAGGTGGAAACCCTAGATTAAACAGTTTTGGAACCCTGTAACTTTTTCAAGAAAATATCCACGTAGAAGAGGGACTATATCTCTTTGGGGTTTGAATAATTCTTAGCAAACACATCCTTGCCAACTTACTGGTTTATTACCTCTCAATTTTCATAATGCTTGTGTTGGTAGCAAAAAGATTGTAGAAAATAATGTACGACTTTCTTTTAGGAACCTAGTGGTTCTACAAAGGATCATCTAATAAAATGGAGTAAATGTGAGCAGAAGGAATTATATTTGCTTGACAAATAGTTGTGACATTTCCAATTTGATGCTAACAAACTTTGGCATGCCATGATTACAAGTATCCATGGCCTTTTGAACAGGATGTAATGCAAGTTTAATAGCTAGGTCATCTTTCTTGTCTCCTTATACCTGCCCTTTTGGTACACCACATAAGTTTGATGCTTCTGCTGGGAACAAAATAAAATATACACCTTTGATGAATACATTTCCTGCCTTAAAGAATTAGATTAAGTTTAATATTGACGGTAGTAGCATAGGCAATCCAGGAAGATGGTGTATAGATGGGATCTTTAAAGACCACAATGTCAAGGATTAAAGTTGGGAAAATTGTTAGATTACAGGGACTTACTAATGGAAGGAGACTCTTGGATGGTCCTGAAATGCTTATTGCATAAAAAATCATGGACTCATAAAAAAAATAGGGATTGTTGGGTTTCTGCCCAACACGGACACTGATTCGAGAGTGTAGTGAGAGAGAGAGAGGTTTCTGGGTTGAATCAAGGTATGTTTCTTATTGCTTTGCCCTTTATTTATAGATGTACAAATTGACAGTTGTAACAACTCAAGAATTCAAGAATCAAGATTTCCACTTGTATCTTGCATAACTGGAGATAGCTGGTTTTATTCCATGTGCTCTTTTCCTTGAGTAACTTGTTTGGTAACTGGTTTACTGACTCCCTTTTGTTCTTGGTTTCTAACAGTTCCTTCCCCATCTCTGAAGCAGCCTGGTCCACGAGGATGAGGTGAGGAAACTGTTGTCTTAGTACCGAGCAGGCCTCCCATGTTGCATCCTCTAGAGGAAGTCCTTGCCATTCGACTAAAGCTCACTCCAGTTGCTAATGTTGTTTGATCCAGCGATAACCCCAGATATATCTTGGTTGTAGAATGGCTTTGTCCATCCTCATCAAATTTTGGTAGAGCTGGGGCAATGAGAGTTGAAGTTCCCACATGTTTTTTCAATTTTGATACATGGAAAACAGACTGGAGACGGCAGGATTGGGGAAGAGTTAATTTGTATGCAATTGCTCCAACCCATTCAGTGATGGGAAATGGTCCATGGTACCTTGTAGATAACTTGTGTTAGATTTTTCGTCCCAATGAAACTTGCCAATAGGGAAGAAGCTTCAGATAAACCAAATCAGTCCATTGACAGCCCAACCACCACTTCCCTATTGGCACAAGTTTCTCCCCAATCCGAACTCAGTCCATTGACAGCCCTAGATAACATCTGAAGAAGCTGACTAAAAAGCTTATTGCTTTGTCTTTTACTCAATAAGGTTTTAAGGAAGTTGTGAGCTCATGAATGGTTGAAGCTGAAGTTAGATAGATTACTATACCATTGAATGTTTTATCATTTAATTATTTTATCCACTAAAAGACAAAGCAATAAGTTGTTCAGTTCAGCAACTTCAGCTGTTATCAAACGACCCCTAAGACAAAAAGAGAAGTTTTATAAGATAGTCATAAGACCAACATTATTATATGGAACATGGTACTGGGCAATCAAGAAAGAAAATGGTTAAAAATATGGCTTTAGTTGAGATGATTGAGTTGCAAGACTACAAAGGAAAGAATCAAAAGTGAGCATATAAAAAAAACATTGGAGTAGCTCCAATTGATGACAAGATGAGGGAAAGTTGGTCATCCAGACTGCATCAATGAGTGACCTGGCGCAAGTATAAGGCTCTAAAAAAGCAAGAGGAAGACCAAAGAACGTATCCTTTGAAGTGATAAGATCAAAGGACTGTATTTAGAATCAGTTGAGTTGAGTAGAGAAGAAGATGAACATGGCCTCTTTGCTCGAATTGTACTAAACAGAAGATGAATCTACTTCTAGACTTCAGCCTCAAAATATTTCTCCTTAACACCCTATGAACAAAAAGCAGGTAGAAAGACCAACTTTGCTGCAATGACCATGAACCTAAACTTATGAGCAGAGATGCAAATGAAAACTGCGGCCTGTTGGATAGATGAAAATATGGGCATACGGAACTTTATGAACCTCCAATTATTATATTAAATGAATTAAAAGTTTTGAACATGATAACCAAATATCAATTACAAAAGATGTTTGAGATCACGAAATTGCTTTAAGAGAAAGATGACAAAATGAATAGCAAGGAAACAAAAAAAAATGACCTTCTGAATTCCAAATTTCTCTTGCGAAATAGAGCATCTGCAATTGTAGAGCTTAAAGGAAGAACCAAACCCATCTCTCTAGCATATTCAATCATTCCAGGAAATGTTATATCAAACCCAATTGGAGCATGTTGCTTCTCATCAGTGGATGAGGGAAAATTGGAAACAATAAAATGGATACCTGTCAATTAGAAACCAAATTCAATTTGAATGAACACAAACAAAACATGAATGCAAATCAGTGATGGATAGAACAACTAAGCAGAACAGCAAATACTACCTTTTTCTATGTGGTTGGTGCCAATGTTCCATCGTTTTAGTGCAAGAACACAAGCCAAAGTGGATGACAAAGCATCCTTAATTAGTAAGGGATGGGAATGAGGGAGACACCATGAACCATCAGGCAACTGATTCTCCAACAACCAGTTTACACACTCAGGGAAATAAGGAGATTGAGGGGAATTTGGAGAAGGAACCATTGCTACCCAAGCTGTGTCATATGCAGAAACCGAAAGCTCAATCTTGGTAAACAGTTCCCTGATTCTTTCCTTAGGCTGGTGGGAGCACTGCAGAATGATTCAACTTCTGCTTGATTGATACATTTGATGCACTTGAACATAAAAGAAAAAAAAGGAATGGAACAGAAAAGATGGGTATTCATACCATAGTGGCATTGCTTGCTCTACCACCTGTTTTTGTTCCATATATATCTGGAACTGCAAAAAAAAAAAAGGTCCACCAGAGAATTAAGAGATAGAACATGTCAATCAACATCAGGGCAATATTGCAGAAAAGTAATGAAGTCCAACCTTAAAAAGAAAAAAAAAATGCATAGGACATGTAAATTGCTCTTTTGTTTTGTAGAAAGTAAACTGCTCATTGAAGTGCACCAATCAATGCTTCAATGGCTTAAACACAGTAAAGATTGCGAGGAGGTAGTGCAACAAATGAATACTAAAAGTTGTTTGTAAAGTATCCTAAATTTATACATGAAAAGGAAGAGGAAACAGATATCAAGAATTGCAAATGCTGAAATACAGTAGGACAAGGTTCAAAAACACGAAAGCTAAATTAAAATCAGGATTCATCTAAGCCATATCGCTGAGTTTTAATTGGAACTTGTAAGCCATTTGGGAAATTTTCAACAAAAGCACAGATATGTAGTAATTAATTAAAGGAGTCAGTATAAGTGGGGGAAATTGGGGATAAATGTCTGAATACTCTAGAAAACCGATAATTCCTATACATGAAAACAAACAGGAAAACAGATTCCAACAATTTCAAAGGCTGAAATGCAATAAGAGCAACCTGACTCTAGATAATTCAAACTGAATCATAACCACAAATAGAGAAATTCAATGACGAAGAAACCTTGAATGGATTTTAAATACCTCTAACCTGTTCTGAACTAAGAGTAAAACTAAAATAAAGAAAATAAGACGGTAAGTACTAATTCAAACTAAAAAAACAACCATATCGTGCCTGAACATTTTAACTTAGCTCTGTTAAGAAGAAAACAATGTAAAAGCTGCAGAACGATTAATACATGGTGGTAAAAATTAGGAAATACATACATGCATACATACATTCCAGAGAAAGAGAGGTGATTCCGATGATAAAATCCCAACTGTAAAATGACTACATTTACACAGATGCAACATACAGCTTTATGGCATATTCTATTCTTTGGCACCATATAAACACATTGTAATCCTAACCTAACCGAAGAAGCAAGGGAAACAAGAAAGAGAAAATATACTACTCTAAACCGTCACTAGCATCAAAAAACCGGAGACCAACCTGAAAGGGTCGAATTCTGCCACCTTTGGGGTTTTTTGAGGAGGAGATTGTTGGGGTAAATGAGAGACATGGTAGTAGAGAGAGAGTTGAAATTGCAGAAGACAAGCTTTTACGTGAGGGAGGGAGGGAGACGAGAAGAACAGAGAATCCAGAGTTTCAACTTTCAATTCTGTATTTTTCGTTGAATCAAGCCAGAAACCAAGCCACTAATTTATAGTGGCATTGCTATCATCCTGTCAGTCGCGAAAAAACTTGGGATTTTCGCCCCTGTTAAATACTTAAGATCACCGTGAATCTGACCGTTTCCTCTGTAAATTAGCATTTTTCTTAAACTCGTCATAATAATATCAGATTAGCAGGACGACTGAACGACTGAAATCATCATTAGTAAAGTATCTTCTTCGCCTAAGATTAAGAAGCTAATCATCATTGAAGAAGGTGATTTAGTGGTTCGCCCACCTCTAATAAAATGCAAACTTTTTCATCAGTAACACGAGCCTTTGGGCGGAAGCCGAGTTAGTTTGTTCTTGAAACACGACGGAGATGTGACGAAAGACATCTATCAGATTTATCGCTTTTCCAAGAAAGTATAGGATATGGGTTTTGAGCAAAAACTTGCCACGTGTAATTCATTTTATGGGATGATCAAGCACCTCCCAAGTAACTTTGGTGTAGGACCCACCATTAGTTTGATTGGCTAAGCCCAAGTCTTTATGGTTGTTGGAGGGAAGAAAAAATTAGGTAGTAACTAATATACTTATATTGTGCAGTCGTTCCCGAGGTTCAAAAGTATCGATACGTACGTGTCCATGGCTTTCTGATATGTTCTTTCAAGAATTGTATTGGGTCAGACATTGGTTCTTTCTGATATGTTCTTTCAAGAATTGTATTAGGTCAAACACTGGTTCAGAGTTACTCAGCTTTTAAATTGATACTCTTAATCAGTTTTGAAAAAAATAAATAAAACTTGGTACACTTTTAACTTTGATCGGTCCCACTATATCTCTCAAAAATGGCTCCACCACATTACAGAGGAGCTTTTAATTTTAAGTTTAACAATGGCTTCCAATTCAATGTAGGCATCGGAGCCTAATCAACAAATCTCATAAACTTTTGTAGTTGGCGTCTCTCTCTTGATCAGGCTGCAGTCCCAACTTCCATCCTAATCAAGCTGGTGACATCTCTCATGTCCGCTTTGATGAATGGAGTTGTGGGTACTGGCTCGACCTTCATATCTGATGTTGCGCGATTCGGACACTCTTATCTGGCAGAAACTTGGCTTATATCTGGTGACGGACGGTGCCTGAGATGAAGAGGAAGGTGAAGAATTTCCAGGGAGCTCGTCTGGCGGGAACACTCCGATGCTTAAGTTAGAACTTTGAGAGAACCGAAGAATACAAAGAGAGAGCTAAGAGTGAGATGGCACAAGTTTAGTACTTTGGCTCCTCGAGGGTCGGGGTCATTTTATATTGGGGATCTCTCAAATCAAGAGTAACTGCCTCTACCATAGCCGTTACTGTTAGAGTCGAGGTGGTGGATGCGGGTAGCTATTGCAGGGTGCGGACCTGTCAGGCGTGCCACATCTGGTAGAAGTGGCAGGCACGACGCCGCCTGACAAGAGACGTGGGCGCAACCTCCATATTCGGCAGGTACTATTGTCAAGCAGATCTTTCCTACAGGTTGCGGAGCTACTTTGCACCGAGCTGCCTTGGTCCGATCTACCTTATGCCAGGGTGCTGGGGGTACGCTGAGGTGCTTATGCTTGAGGCGAGCCTTAGGTAAGTATGGGCAGGAGTGTTAATGGGGTTGTCCTGAAGTGCTTCCACTTCGGGATACTTACCCATAGATCGGGGTGTTCCCTTCTCAAGAAGGAAGAGTTCGGGGCCCGCTGGGAGGAGCTCGGAGATCCTCGCTTGGAGGGAGCTCGGGGCGCTCCTCCCTTAGGGAGAATTTGGGGTAAGCTGGATCCTTCTTCTTGGCGAGTTGCCATGCCCACCGAGTTGTATCGCCGGGCTCTGACGAGTTCATTACGCCAAGTTATGGCGAGGCTACCACACTGAGTTGTCACTTATGCCAGGTTGTACCCACGTGTCCCCGTGCTACGAGGTTGGGCTAAAACACCCTCCATCAATTGCCCCCCACTCCCCGTGCTGGGGGTTCTAACCCAACGCGGGGAGTCTGCGGTGTGCTGGGTGGATTTGGCTCGGAGCTCCGTCCTTCTGGTCAGACAGCTTATTGGTCAGCCAATTCACTGTTCGGCTCAATCAAGGGCAACCCGGGTCGCATACAGTCTATGCGCGAACGTCATGCGATTTATGGACTCAACGGACGTCAAAAAACGCGCTAAAACGATTTCGCCTCAGGGGTCGCGTAGCCGATTTTCTTGAGAGCCGTCAAATCGCCTTGATCTTGACCATTGATGCCCAAGTACAGTGGCTATAAATAGTAGGGGTCCTGGTCATTTTTCCCTCGCCACAAGTTCTCAACATTCGTCTTGAGCTCGCATCTAAGGTCTCCAGCTCGGGTCAATTCTCCCCAGTTCGGTTGTTTTTCCTTAGTGAGTCTCCTTAGCTTTTCTTTCAGTTTCCTTTCCTTCCAGTTCGTTTTCATTTTCTCCATTATGTCTAGTTTCGATAGCCAACTAGATGAGCCTGAGGTGGGTACCTCGGCTCAGGGTGACCCCACCGAAGTCCAGTCTCACGAGGAGCGGGAGGCCTCAGGTAATCTGGCGTCCACCTCTCACCGAGGTCGGATGCCGGATAGGTTCGGTCCCTCCACTATGACCCTGGAGAGGCTCCGATACCTCATCCGACAAAACAATCTACTTAGGGAGTATACCTACAGTCTTCCTGCGGGTAACTTCCCATGGGAGCAAGGTCCTGACGAGATCGTGATCTTCTGGAAGCAGCTTATAGCCGGGCTCCGTCTTCCTTTCCACCCTCTTATCATAGAGGTCCTGAACCACTTCAACGTCACAATAGACCAACTTCACCCGAACTCCATTCGTAACGTGGTCGGGACCATATCCCTTTGCTTCAAGTACGTCCTTCCTTTGAACTTAGATATTTTTTGCTCGATCCTCTCAATAAAGAAGAGCACTTCAAGCATTCTCCCTGAGCACAAGCGAGCCTACTACCTGTCCCCTCACCTGGGTTTCAAGTTATTGCACAAGCTTCCTAGCAAAGTCCCGGCCTGGAAGCAGGACTACTTTGTTGTCCGGAACACCGCAGGTGGCCCTTCCCCACTCATTGGTGGGTGGCTATTCAAGACCCCGGTGTTATCTTGGACAAGAAGACAAGGGAGACGCTCCAATCATGGGCTGAGCTCGGGTTTAATTACAAGGATTATATCGCCGAGAGCAAGCTCATACAAGTCGGCTTGAGCCCGGGTAGGTCATCTTACCTAGAGTTAAAACATTTTCCCTTTGTGGTTTGTACCTTTGAGTTACTAACGTCGAGCTTTATTGCAGGACCCATGGAAGAAGAGAAGCTCAAGGGGGAAAGGCTCTTCAGCCATATGAAGGGGAGGAAGAAGCGAGCTGCCAAGAGAGCTCGCGTCGAGTCCCCGTAGGCTCCTACCTCTGAGCTGGAGCTCCCTGATGTTCCTCCGATCATTGACTTGGAGGAGATCTTACGACCTCAGGATCTTGAGACATCAGTAGAGCTTGCTCCAAAGGCAGCTACGAAGCCCGAGGTCGCCACCAAGGCCACTGATGCAGCCTTCGAAAGAGCATCCTGGTCCCTCAGTGCAGCCTTCGAAAGAGCAAGGGGGTTGTCTATGCCGAAGAGGTCTCCGTTTGGGCCGACCTCACTCCTGCTCAGCTTGGAGCCCGAGCTGCCACCCACACAATGGTGGTAAGTTACAAAGACTTCTCCCCCTATCCTCCCCCCTTTTTTATATCTCTTCGGTGCTAACCAATCCTCTCTAGTCAAGTGAACTCCACCGTGCATGCCTTGACCCTTCAGTCCAAAAGGCACCTGAAGCGGGCTCTAGCTACCGAGGACTCGGCTCGCACAACCCACACCGATTAGAGGGCAGCTCGCGACCAAATCTATCGGCTGGAGAGCGATGCTTCAGCTCAGAAGAATGTCATCGAGGCGCTGATGGCGGAGAAGGAGGAGCTGGCACGCGAGAGGGATGAGCTGAAGAACGAGGTGAATGCCCTCAAGGCAGGCAAGGGGGCTTTAGAGCTC